CCCCCCCCCCCCCCCCGCCCCGCTTTCCTCTCGCCTGCCCCGGCGCCCCCGGCCTTGGGCTGATTTCCTTGAGACGTGCCGCTGTTTGCCAACAGCAGGCAGCCACGAAAACGGCCCCTTTCTTTCATCTCCGGACGGGGTTCCACTACAGTTTCCTGCAGGGATCGGCGAGTGGGCGGGCAGCCAGTTGTGAACAGCGAGCTCAGCCAAAGCGACTGGGGCAAGAGCACAGTGCTGCGTCCTGGAGCCGCAGCTGGAAGGGACTCGCAGGGAACAGCCTTTTACCGGGAAGACGCCAAGTCCGGAGGGAAAGAGCCCTGTCCAAGGTCACCGGCTGGCAGAGCGCACCTGTCGTGTGCGCCGCCTCGAGTCCGCTCCGGGCCGGGAGGAGTCTGGCGCGCGGAATGGAAATCACTGCACACCCCGGCCGCCCGCGCCTCTGGCTCTTCTGCCACTGTTGACACTCCGGACCCGCAGGCTCACCTCTCAAGGACTGGGCGGGGGTGGGGTGGGGGTGGGGAGGCCTTTTGGGCAACCAGCAACGCGCTGGCTCTCGCCGCAACCCGGGCGGACCCACCCGCCGGGTGCCCACCCGCCACTGCCTCGCTCACCAGCCGGCACCCAGGGTGAGGGCCCGCCCTCAGATTGCGGCCCCGCCCCTCGCGCGGCGGCCCCGCCCCCCGAGACTGCAGGCTGGCCCCGCCCCTCGCGCCCAGTCGCAGCCCCGCCCCGCCGCACCTGGCCCCAGCCCGGCGCGCCCCCCAGCGCCAGCGCTCGCGCGCGCTCCTCCTCCGCCCTCCCGGGGGTGTGCGGCGCGCACCGGCTCTGGGCGGGGCCCTGCAGTGGCGGCGGGGCTCCTCCTCCTGCTGCTCCTCCTCCTCGCTCCCAGCGCCTCCCCGACCTCCCCCTCGGGCGCTCTCGCGCTAACTGCGCTCTTCCGGGGCCCCTCTGCCCGCTTCCAGCCATGGTGCTCTGGCGCTCGGCGTTCTTCATCTGCCTCGCTTTCTCCTTGGCCACTCTGGTCCAGAGAGGTAAGGCGGGCGGGGGGCGCGCGGGGACCCCGCCCTGTGGGCCCGCGGGGCGGGAGCTCGGCGCCCCGCGGCCCCGTGGTGCGCATGAGCGGCCCGGCCCCCACCTCGCAGGCCTGCGGCGAAGGCTGCGGGCGGGTGGGCGGGGCAGTGGGGGTGCGGGCCCCGGGCCCGGGGGGACTGACCTTGCCGCGATCCAGGTGGTCGGAGAGGAGGGACGGGGACCCCTCTGGGTGCTGGGCTAGAAACAGCGGGTTAATCCTCCCTTAAAATCCTGAAAGAGGTGTCACCGCCGGTGACAACAGCTGTCCCCAGGAGATTGCTTTTGGGAAAACCTTGAAGAGAGCACACTCATTCCCTTGAGCGGGGCTTCTCAGAAAGAGCACACTCATTCCCTTGAGCGGGGCTTCTCAAAATGTGTTTTGAGGCCACCTGCAGCAAAAGCACCCAGGGAGCTTCCTGGGCGAATTCCTACCCCCTTTTGTCAGGATATTTGCGGGGACGGGATGGGGGGGCAGCGATGTGTAGGTCTAACCAGCTCCCCAGGTGCTTCTGGTGCCCGCCCCAGTTTTGTAGCCATTGGCGACTTTTGCCAAGGAGGTAGAGAGAAATGCTGCGGAATCAAAAGAGCAAGTGTCCTAGAGCCGCACTACTCCAAGTGTGGTCCAAGGGCCCTCGTAGGCATCGCCTGGGACTTGTTGGGAATGCAGCATCTCAGGGCCCGCCCCTGACTTAGTCTGATTCTGCGTTTTAACTAGATCCCCGTGTTGTTTGCAGGCATATTTGAGAAGCATCTTTGAATAAATGCAGTGTGTGGTTAAAAATAGGACCTCCAACGTGTACAGACAGAATCTTCTTACACTTATTTATATCCCATCTCCATATCAGAAAAAGGTTTGAGGAAAACACTGCAATTAAGTAGAGTTGGGCTCTGAGCTTCCTGACAAGGAAGGCAAATTCAGCTAGTGAAAAACATGAGCTCAGCAAAAACAAAACTTTGTCCTTGTACTGAGTGCTAGTGAAATTTATGTTACACCCGAGGAACACTGGAAAACAGTAGACAGTCTAAGGTAGTTTTACAAAAGATGCAGAAATATTTCTCATGTGGGCAGCCATCCTGGACCTGATACAAGAAGAGCCATTCAACATTCTACAAAGGTGTCAGGCTCTGTTCCAGACACCGATGATGCAGCAGTGAAACTAAGACTGCCTTCCTGGAGCTAACGTCCTGGTGTGGGGAGAAAACAAGCATAGACATCACAATCTACATAATATATTGTTAGTGCTGTGAAGGAAAATAAAGCAAGTTACAGGGTTGCTGCATTTTCTGTTTCATTTTTCTTCTTCGGGGTTAACATTTTAATTTTTTATGATGCATTTGTGGGAAAAAGTGTAATCGCTTGATTGACTTTTGTTGGTATGGAATGTTTGAAAGTGCATGCACAGAAAAATTAGAAAAATGATATTCCCTTCAAGGCTATATTCTTCAACATGGTATGCACACTGAGAGGAGGAATAGAAATGAACAGGTCTCAGATTTTCACCATGATGTGTCATACTAGGTGATTTAGGAGGTGCTGGAGGAGTCTGCGAACCATTGCAACCATTTTACAGGTGAAAGTGGCACAGAGAAATGTGAGGTAACTTGCCTCAGGTGGCAGAGCTAAGATTTGACCCCAGGCTTGTCTGATGCCACAGTCCTTGCTTATAAGCACCTGGAGGGTGCCCTCCTGCCTTGGGAAAGTTTTCTGAATTTCACTTGGTTTGCTCGGCCTTGTTAGGCCTAACAATGGCGTTTTGAGGGGACCAGGAGTATGTCACTCTCAGATCTGTGGCCCTGCCACCCGCTACCACCTCCTGAGTGCTTGCTGTGTGCCAGGCACCTCACATATCTTGTTTTCAGTTGCCCCAACAATTTTGTAGGAAGGCATTACTTTGCCCTTCAGGCTCTGGCAAGTTGAGACAGACTGTATTTTAGTAGTTCTGAAAAATCCTCTGAGGACAAATATGTTGCCTGTATGCACCTACAGAAATGGGAAGCTGATCTTTTGTGTGGTGGGGGAAGAATCACAGTGGTACAGGAGGGGAGTAATGATCATGAAGGTTCCATTTCCCCAAATGCCTTCCACGCACCAGGCCCTTGGTGCCTCACACATGTTTACCCCTCATAACCACCCTGAAGGTTTTGACAGTATGACCCCTCTTGCCTTCTTGTGTCCATAACGGCCATTTGTATATGGCCTTGAAAAGTAACTCACTGGTAACCCATTTCTCAGATGAAAAATGAGTGGCCCAGTGAGGTTTAGGACTTAAACTCAGGTTTGTCTGAATAACGAAAGCAGGGGTCATGAACGTAGATGACCTCTCTGCCTCGGTTTCCCCATTTGTAAAATGGGGATAACCACAGCATCCACATCAAGGGATTGTTAGCAGGACTGAATGAATACAGATGGATAAAGTGCTTAGCACAGTGTGTGGCTCCCAGCGAGCTGTTAGTAATTCTTACGTTGCCTAAAACATTCCAAGCCACGGTTTAAAAATATGCAGTGCAAACCTTGAAAATATTAAGCTAAGTGAGAGAAGCCAGACACAAAAGCCCACATATTGTATTGTCCATTTATATGAAAGGTCCAGAGTTGGAAAATCCATAGAGACAAAAAGTACATGACTGGTTGCCAGAGGCTTTTGGGGGGTGATTGGGGAATGGAGGAGTGACTGCTTCATAGGTGCAGTTTCCTTTTGGGGTGATGAAAATGTTCTGGAACTAGATAGAGGTGATGGTTGCACAGCCTTGTGAATGTACTAAGAGCCATCGAATTGCACACTTTTAAAGGGTGAGTTGTATGGTGCATGAATTGTATCACCGTTAAAATTTTTTTTAATATAAAAAATTTTTATATGTCCACTTAAAAAAATTCACTGTAGTCCAAGCAGAACAAATGAGAGTGATGGCAGCCTGTGACCCCTGGGACTTGGTCACATAGGGGAGAGAGGAGAGCAGTGGTCCCCAAGTGCTGGTGGTATTGGGATGCTAGGCTGGGATCGAGGCAGAAGCCCTATGGGCCTCCTTGGGATGGGATATTGGTATGAGCCAGACAGGCCACAGGGGCATGTGCTGGGTTGGCCAGATCTGCCCAATCCCTCCAGCCTCCATCCCTGACTTTCCTGGGTTCTTCCAGCACTTGGTGTTGGTGCTTTTCCTGCTGTGTGCCCACTCCTACTCTTTGCACCTGGCATGTCCTCATCTGCTGCTCTGGGTGGGCTTGGGGAGGCCTGGCTGCAGGGGGTCCTGTCTGCCAACCCAGACTTGGCTCTCCCTGAGTCTTACTCACAAGTCCACTGATTAGCCGATCTCGGTTTGCATGTAAAAGGTTAAAAAGTCACCGTAAACGTCTAACCAAAACTTGTGGGCAGTACTTGAAAGAAGGGAGATGATCCACATGAGGGTGAGTGGGAAGCTGTGCTGGGTTCCCGCAGATAGCCAAGCCCTAATCCCTGGCACCTGTGACTGTTAGGGTACGTGTAAAGAGGAATTAAGGTAGCTAATCAGCTGGCCTTAAATAAGATTCTCCTGTGTTATCCTGGCCAATTGAGGGACAAGGGTCCTTTAAATATGGAAGGTGGAGGTAAAGGAGTGAGAACGGTGCGATGTGAGAGAGATTTGGCCCAAAGATGGAGGGCCACAAGCCAAGGAATGCACACACAACCTCTAGAAGCTGAAAAGGGGGACAGACTCTCCCCGAGAGCTTCCAGAAGGAACAGAGCCCCGCTGACACCTTGCTTTTAGCCCCAGTGAGACCTGTGTTGGACTTCTGACCTCCAGAACCGTAAGATTAAAGAAATGAAGTGTGTGTTTGAAATCTTTCGGAATTTGTTGTAGCCGCAAGAGCAAACTAATAGAACAGCTAAGGGGTAGATAATAGCTTCCTCTTCATTCCTTGAAAAAACTAGCTTGTGCCGTCTCCTTACATTGTTTTGGTTTTGCTATCTTAAACCAATTCCCAATATGCTCTGAGTTCAAGAGTTTAAATGTGCAGAAAATTGGATTGCAGTGATGTTCTTGGTGTGGAAATGGGCGTTTAGAAGCACCTCTGAGGGCCCTGGGAGACCGCTACATCCTTTTTGCCTGGGTTTGATTTTTTAGAGCTACTTCACAAGGAAATTGGAGCTGGTGCCTACCGTGCCCCCGCCCAGAGGCCTTTTCCTTCTCTTCTCCCCCCCCCCCCACCGCCCCGAGTCCTGATGGCTGCTTGACGCAGTGCTCTCTGTGGCCCAGCAGACAGATTGAGGGGTTTGGATTTGTCCGGCTGCACCTGCCCCTTTGCTGAGGAGGAAGGATGTGCGGCCCCACCGGTGTCCTGGCTTCAGCTGATTGTGTGGTTCCCACTCTCCCCAAGCCGGTGGGGGAAGAGAACCAGAGCAGGAATGGGGCCCGGGGGTGGTCCTAGACCTCCACTGGAGCTTCAACCCACTTTGAGCTCTGTTTTTATGAGTTTTTGGTCCAGGGCTGCTCATAAGATGTCACGGGGGCTCTGCAGCTTTAGACCAACAAACACACTTGGAAAACTGTGGTTGAATTCCACAGAGAGTGGTGCTCAGGGAACATCTGTTTACTGGGGGGCTAGACAACATCTGGCTGGCAATGCCAGGTGGTTCGTTTGGGATTACTTTCCAAATTAGAGACGGTACCCTCAGCAGGAAATACTGTTGCAGTGCGGAATTCACTGCCACCAAAATAGTGCCCCGGCACAGACTGGGCTCATTTTGACATTCTTCCTTTTATTTTTATTGCTGCTTCAGCTAGCCTGGGATGACGGAATTAACACACAGCCTGCATTCCAGCGTGGCCCCCGCCATTTGCTGGCAACAGTTGCCTTATCTGCACCAAGAGGCTGCTGATGTCTGCTTTGTTGGCCTCACAGAATTGTTGGAGTAGCCAGTTAATTGCTAATGCAAATGGGTGGTGTGTTAGGTTCCCTAGATGGGCCAAGAAGGTGAAGAGG